TTTGGTAGATATGACAAACATTCTGGCATAAGTCCAGAACAAATGCGTTTCTCGTATCCCAAAAAAGTCGCTGCCTCTTCTTTCTACACTTCCTAGGCGTTGAAGGGAGGAGGTGAGCACTAGGAAATGAACAGGTACCAAATTCAACTGTAAAATCGCCTATGAAGAGTTAAAATTCGCGCATTGCAAGGTTATAATTAAACCCGAAAATTTTCAGTGTTCTATTACTCATAATGAATCCAGAGGGCGTTATGTGCCATCCTACATCTGGAAAATCGACCTGTGTTCCCAAAATGCAGCCACAGAAGCTGAGCAGCAAAGCCATTCCAAGTCATTGCACATTTACATACACAACTAAAATCTTTTGGTTATCACTAGCTGCTGATCAACAATGGAATATGTACCTGAACGAATTATCTGGGCACATAGGCGGGCCCGGAGCGAAGAGTCTTTCGTCTCTCCTCTACTCCCACCCTGCCCTCCCCGTCCCAGTGGCACACACCAGTGCTGCAAAAGACCGGGTCTAAAGCTAAAACTAAAGTAAGTAGCAGTGTTACAACTCTATCCCTAGTTTTTTGCATAGTTCCACCACCCCTCCTAGAAGACCGTCCTGGATCCGCCTGTGGTTGGGCAAAGTGTTGTTCAAGTCGATAAGTCATATTTCATTCTCCATAAACGGCAAAAGTACTCGAAAGTGAACAATATGAAGCACATTTTCAAAATTAGCCACCATCTAGCAAGGGCATTCAATAGCTGCTTTTTCCGGGAAAAAATTAGAAGTAAGCTACTGCTGGTTCCAAATCTTTGATAGGTAAAAGTAGAAAAATACTGCCGAGACGAATTACTGAAACGTAAAGAAACTGGTTTTCCCAATGACGGAATCGAAGCATTTTCGTTATAGTTTAGGAGTTTTTTTTAAAAAGAGTTAAACTTAATTTGGGTCGTTTTGAGGGTCGTTTTTTACTTAGAAAGAAGCTGAATCCATGGCACACCGCGACCCCGTGATTGATGCCCATTAATGGTTTACCGCAAAACAAAAACACTCAAACAAACACTGCCGGCGGCAAAACCGGAAAAGCACGAAACCTGTTCGAGTGCAATGAGCGCCTCCTCGATCAACAGGCGATGCCTTTGACGACTGAGAAGTGCGTTATCATCCGATACGGGGCATAATTCATCTATTTGCTGACGAATCACATCGAACTAAAAAAAACTGCTTCATAGAACTTTCGATTATGCTTGCGAAGCTTCCAATTTTATCAAGATGCTGATAAGCTAAGCCGAAGCCCCAGTATCCACTTATCCGTATTCACCAAGTACGCCAACCTCTCTTTAAAGATTATTCAAAAGCGATTGCCACCCGAGCAGACGGGCCCATTAACAGTGACTTTTTCTTCCTTCTTCCTTTTGCCTTCCCTTTCTTAACCCTTTCAATCCCACAGTCATATCGTTTTCCCCTCTGTTTCTTTCTGTCGTCTTCCTCTTTTCTTTTTCTTTTTCACTGAGCACCACGACCATCGTACTGATGAGGTTCAGTCGCAGTGTTGAGTTAAGACGTATATGACTTAATGGACCGAAACTCTTCTTATCTCACTCTTATTTCCTTCTTTTCTCATACTGTTCCATCATGCTGTAATCTATCGCTCCTTTGCCATTTAGGCTTTCAGGGTCAACCTGTTTGCTACAATCGGCTTACTAGTGGTTAATACAAAAATGCCATCGATATGAAAAAATTTTCTCAAGATACTTATCGTTCATTCCATAAAATAAACTCTAATGAAATTGAAAGCACAAAAAAAAGTTACGAAAACAAAAACTGACCAAAGATTCGACCCCTGCACCGGTAATACATGAAACGTGAACAATAGGCCACGATGTGCTGTCCAATGAATGTTGTACATTTCGCAAGTCACATTTATTACAAACGATAACAATGCGTACATCTTCACGAAGTTCGAGATCGGATAGTAGGGAGCAGGCTTCCGCATCAATATCCTTGCATAAACTGCTGTCCATTACAACAAGCAGGATATCTGCCTCTTTCGCCCTTCAACATACAGGATTTTGAGCTTAAGCACTTAACCCAGTTTTTCATTAAAACGACAGGAATGCGTCTTCTAAGCGTTAAAAATCGCAGAAACAACGAGACATGAGCTACGATTGTGAATTCATCGAAATTCAATTATTTCATGCGAATACTATCAAGTAAAGCAACATCTTACGTGTGATTTGTACAACGGCTCAAGTTATTTTGAAATTTATTTTATTATTTTAGAATTTTTAGAAAAACTTAATTTTCGAAATTTTAGAATAACTCTATTTCAAGTTATAATATTGAACTTTAGTAAGATATCAAAAAAAAAGAACCTTTTTAGCGTTCTGCGAATA